AGTTACTGTTTTTAATTTCTGAGTGAAGTCTGTCTCACAGTTGGAGTGGGCTGCTCTGATGGATTAGGGCTGCCCTGTACTGTGAGTTCCCTGTGATGTGTCTCCTGTTTCCAAAAGTCGGTGGGGAAAAAGGGGAAAAGCATAGAGTTTTGACCCTTATGCCCTGCTTCTAAGTCAATTATGGCACTGCAAATGCTATTTCCTTTTCTCCATCTTGGTGGAGCCTTGCAGGCAGAAGGGCCTGTCCTTGCTAACTGAGCAGTGGGGTGTTTCACCCAAGTCTCTCTCGACAGCAGTTCAGTTCCAGGTGCTGAATGTAGCAGTTGTTGGTGTGAATCCAGGCAGCAGAAATCTGATGGGAACAGGGGTATCACAGCTCTGTAGAACCTACAGCAAATTACAGTCTTCTAGTAATGACAATAAAAAAAGCAAAACAAGAATGTCAGCTCTGGCTACAAAATATCTGTTTCAGTGTGGCCTGCACCACTGTCAGGGCTGACACCTGTGCTTTCTGCACTAAATGGAAGCAAAAACCTCCATGCCATACGTCTTCTGACATGTCTCACTTTCTTTCCATGTTGCCCTTTTTCCCCATAGCTCTGAGGTGGAGTCTGATTTTAATGGTGACTCCTCGAATTCAGAGGTGAGTGAAGGACAGACCTTGCTACTTGAACCCCCAGCCTGCTTGAGCCCCATCCAGAGGCATTCATCGCTTGTCAGGAGCCCTGTGGAGCCAGAGGAAAAACCCAAAACATCCAAAGTTGCTGATGGTAAGCAGTATCCCAACCCAGGGATGTTCCAGCAGCCTCTCTGAGAACTGAAGTTGGGTTTGGGGGGGAGAAGTTTTGAAGTGAAGGCTATTGTCTGCAATGTGGCCAGGTTGTACCCATTAACAGTGTCTTTTTGGGGGTTGGTTTCTGCATTTTGAGTGCTGGAGCTGAAACACCATTTCTGTGATGCAGGGCAACCTGGAGTAGTTGTCTTGTGCTTTTCTTACAGGGGTAGGATGAATGTTTTCCCAACGGTAAAAAATTTGTTAGCTATTAGCAGTCTGTGCAATATCTTCTGTGTTGTCTAAGCTATCTACTATACTCCATTCAGGGCATTCCAGGCAGACTTTTTACATGAGAGGACTATGTGGTGCTAAAACATTGAGGTCCTTTGATTTTTCTTCACCCAGGCTGCCTTGCTCTGGATTTGGTGTAAATCTGAAGGGACTATTGTGAGGAATTAATTTGTTCTTACTTCACACAAGGTCTCTTTTTTCCAGTCTGCGCTCTAGTCACACAAACCGGTTTCTTCTGTGTTTCTCCTGCCCTGAAACAAAGGTCTGGACACTGAAGGTGTATGTAGCTGCGCTCTCACCCCCACACACATATTTGCATTTTAAATCCAAGCAGAAAAGAGGGGATTTCATACAGTGATCTAGGTTGAGTCTTGAATAACGAAGCCCTTGTTTAGGTGAAAAAAAGGGCAGCAGCAAACCCCAAGAGGTGCTCAGCAACGTGTGACCCCATGCAGACACTGAAGGATTTTATCCTTTTTCCTCTCCAATTTCATGCTCTCCCCACCCCTGGCTGCTCATGTCACCTTCCTCCTTGCTGTCCCCTTCCTCCCTGGCTTATCTGGATCCTCCTGAGCAGCATCTCAGCTCCACATTCTCTCCCAGCCACATTATAGCACCCTAACGAGTTTTCTCCCCCTCAGTCTTGTCCTCCTCCCCCTCTGTTTCTCTATGCCATTCTGCTCCTGGCGGCTTCGCTAAGAGCCAGGGTTGGTTTGAGGAGAAGTGAGAACTCCATCAGCTCTTTCCCCGCCACCCCACTGGCCACCAGTCCTGCCCGGGTCGGTGCTGCCCCCTCCCGGCCGCCGCGGCGGGGAGAGGGGCCGGGACCTCGGGGGGCTGCTTAGAAAACTAAACCCCCACCGCTTGAAGTTTTTTGTTTGTTTGTTCCCCGCCTCCCCTTTTTCTTTCTCTCTCCTATTTTCACTCCCTGACTTTTGCCGCATTAGCTGACCGCGTCTTTTTTTTCTGTTTCTGTTCAGCACTGCAGAGAGCCAACAGTTTTCACTCCACAGCATTGAACAAGTATCAGAATTGGAGGAGAAAACTCCAGACGAGTGAGTATTTGTGCTGTGTCCTGTTTTTCTGTCTCTTGAATGCCTATTTCTCCTTTCCTGTAGAAGTTTTGTAGATGAGCAAATAGAGATCCAATTGGCATAAAATATTTCTTTTTCATCTTCTAGTCCTCAAAGCATAAAATTCCCTTCCTGTGTCATTGCTCCTCACATTGTTACATGTGCCAGCAAGTGATGTCCACTCTAATTCTCCAACTGAGAAAATGCACCCCTGTCTCAGAGCCACATATTCTGTCTCTAGTCCAGCCTGCAGTGATTGCTTTTGATTAAGTGCAGTGCTGGGTCTAACATTTTGAGTATCACTTATTAGCCATGCTTCTAGAGGTGTCCACTTACACCCATCTCCAGGTGCTTTATCACCTCTTTTTTTTGTTGGCAAAAGTCAGGTCAAAGTGGTAGAGTACTTACAGTGATCCCAAGAAGAGAGCTGGTGAAAAGAAGCATTGCTGGTTCTTGTCCTCTAGTAGTTTCACTTAGTTTGGGCTGACCCCTCTCTGCTCATGGGAATCTCTTAGGAATGCAGTGATTTCAATCATAACTTGGTGTGTGTTCAACCACAGTGCAGTCACTCCTTGCAGCTGGAACTGCATCTAGGTAATCCTCCTGTGCTGTGGTCCCAAAACAAGCCAGATGTCCCTGGGCACACCTCTGCTGCTCCTAACAGAGTTGCCTGGGTCTTGGCACAGCCCCTCTGCAAGTGCACCCTGTGCCTGCTCAGTCCCCACTGAGGACTCACAGGTACCTGCTAAGATTAATCATACCACTATGGGTGCTGGGTGAGCTTACCAGCATCCCAAACCCTCTCAAAACTTGGTTAGAAATGCAGACATATCTGTTAGACTGGGGTGTTGATAGCCTTCAGTATAAAACATGGATGTACAGCAGTGGAAAGCAGGGATTTTTGCATGTGATCAAGTGCAACAGTTTCTGGGCATGGAGACAGTAGGTTTTGGGGAACGGTCATGACAACCATGCTTCAACCCTGCCCTCAACTGCCTTCTACAACCAGAGAGGGATTTCTGCTGCTGCTCAGAGTCTCGATGGCCTTCAGACAAGTAGGATCCCCGTGTATCATGGTACTGGCATTCAATCAATGGTGTCTCAGTTTGTTTAGTTTACATACACAAACAAACCAGGATTTTTTTGCAAGTACCTGTGGTAGGATCAATTTTTGTATCTCAAAAAAGGAAACAAGCTGCATCTCTCCGTCCTGTCTCTGGGTTCTCATCTGAGTCAGATGTCTGCAGGTACTTGTGAACACTGTCACTACTGAACCCATGGTTCCTTGAAGGTTCCCAGTGCCACTCATCTGGGATAAGTAAGTTAAAGCTTAGTAGAGGATTCATGGGACTGTTTCACAGTCCTGAGAGAATGCTCCCACAAGCTTAGCTTCAGGAAACCTGTGACAGACTGTTCCTAGGGAGGTAGCTGTGCTAGATGGGCCAGGATGGGGCTGCGTTCCTAGGGATTCACTACATCTCCAAGGCACAGAGGACTCCCCATACCTGCAAGGCCTCTGTGGAGCAGCTATTTGGGACTTCCCATCTGGAGAAAGGCTGTCCCATGCCCAGGATAGGGAGGCAGAGCAGGGTGCCCTCAAAGCCTTGTGACATCTGTGTCATCCTTGGGCGTGTCTCTGGGCACTGTGCAGCTTTTGAGGATTGGCTTATACATCAAGGGTTGACTTCACCAAAGGCTTGGATTTAAAAACTTGCCTTAATTGATACCAGTTTTTAAAACATCAAACAAAAATTATGCTTATTCCAGGTTTGAGGGGGAAAAAGCCCAAAAAGACTGAGAGAGGAAGGAAGAAGACCAGGAATCACTCTCAATTTTGACACATTTTCAGCAAAATGCATTACTTACTCGTTGGCCAATGGTTTTCCCGTTTTTTGTTAAAATCTTCGCATGCCTCCGAAGGGCTCTAGAGGGAGCTAAAAGCCTTTCAAAGGGAAGAGATGTGCTGCATGAATTCCTCTGACCTTCAAGTATGCTATTAAAACGAGGTGTAAAGCACATTTGGCATATACTGAAAACAGAATAAAGACATTTTTCACTCTCTGGAGGAACGCTGTAAGTCTGAGACTCTATATTTAATCCACTTAATATTTGGTTACAAGAATTCATATGATCATTGGTCACATGAAAGAAAAATCTGTCTTCTCTTCAGACTTATTTCCCAAAACACATGTTTCATAAACAGCACGAGGTATGCAGCCAAGGAAAGGAAATCAGTGTCATGGTTATATTGGCTGAAAGGCTCAGAACAGGATATTACCTTTCAAAACCCTTAATCCCTGTCTCACAGCCAAAGGGAACCCCGGGCCCTTAATTTGTCTTGGTGACTTGAAGCAGCTTTTGAGCCAAGCACATCATGATGGTTCCCCAGGGAACTTTTTTTAAAAACTCTGTTTTGAACATGAAGCTGCAATCATATTCAGTGCCTCGGTGGGAATAAATCCATGATGTCTGTGAAAGATGGAAAGCTGTGGCTTTACAGCAAGCCATGCTCTCACATGTGCAGGTCCTGTCCTTGCAACCCAGTGCATGCCCACAAGAGCTGTAGTGGGAAGTGGTTCTCCCCACGGGCACATACTGTTACCCTGTAGAGCCCTGGCTGTGGGTTTTAAGTCCTGGTAGGTGTTAGGGCTGTCACTGTTCCTGTGATTGTGGTTCCTCTCAGTGTAGTGAGCCATGATGTTTGCCTGTGTCAGGTAACAAAGGGCTTTAGTGTATCAGGCTAAACCCTTCTGGCTCAGTCATACAGGTAACAGTGGGTTTTCGTCCTCATTCTGGGTTCTCGTATTTTCCTATGGTCAATTCTCTATACTGAATGTGAAGGTCAATGTGGGTGTGTGGGAAAGGAGGGGTGTCTGTCCTGAGGACGGAGGGTCAGGGTGGGATGGGGATAGGCTGTGAAAATGAAGATGGAGTAGCTCAAGTTTGCTGCTGCTTTCTAAGAGGACCATCACTGGACTTTCTCAATGTGTCTGAAATCATGTGAAGGGTGGTTTTTCACTTTCTTCATTTTCTTCTCCCCTAAAAACTAATTGCAAAAAGACACAGAAAGCAAGACCAGCAGCAGAGCTGGGTTTTGGTTTCCAGGTGACAGGTGACAAAAGCTGGATTTGTCTCAGCTCAGCCCCTCGATGCTGGTCCCTATGAGAGTTCCTTAACCAACTCCAGTGCATCGTTTCCCTCTGTTCTTGACTGAATGTAACAAATCACATCAAGATTGGGAACACTTAAGTGAGACACTGAGAGGAAAGGCAAGTTGGCCTCTCTCTCTGGCTTGCCTTTTCTGAATTTCACATGCAGGAACTGTCTTCTCTCTCTGGTGTGTTGCTGTTGTCCTTACACAGCTTTTAATCCCTATGTAGAAGAACCAAAATTTGCTTTGGGAACCTTTGTGGGTTTCAGAACTAATAACTGAGTTTGGGATTAATAATTCAGCTATAAATATGCTTGTCATGTTAAAGCTTGACATGGTAATATCTTGGCTCTGGAATACTTATATTCTGTCCCAAAATTATTTATTATGTAAAATTGCCACAGACACAAGTATTAGAGAGCTCTCTTGACTCCCTTCAGGTGCAAGTTACCTCCTTACCTTTTTTTCCAGCACGTCTAAGCCTGTCTGTGCTAGTTTTGGTTCAAGACCTTTAGGAATTAGCTACCTTACCTGATTGTAGGAGAGCCCCTGTTGGGCAGCCTGTTGGCCTGGCTTGGGAGACCGCAGGATTATTTCTGTCCTTACTGCCTGTAGGTGATTGCATTTGCCATTTCTTTCTGGTTATGAGAGACAGTCCTCTCAGAAGTCATCCATTTGCTTCATTTCTCAGAACTACCCAAAGCTTCAAAAGTCACTGGTTGTTCTAACTGCTTCTGCTTTTAAGGCCTGAAAGCCCTCTGAAGAGGGCTGGTTTTCCAGCAAGTTTCCTGGAACTGAAAACAGCTTCACTATATCCAGCCAAAAAGTGGAAGCAGTTTAGGTCCACTGCTGAAAATGTCAACACATGTTTGGCACAGTGTGCACACACATGTGCATGAGGCCATAAACTTCATTACTGTAGGTCAGCTCTTCAGGTACAACTGCATCCAGATGACTTTTTAACTTTCTACTCTCAGCCTTTAATAGCAAACCTTATTTAAGACAAAAACAATGCAAATGTGATGGTAAAATTTGTGTCTCTGGCAGGTTTCCCTCTACTGTCCGGCAAGAAAGTGGGGCTGCACTGGAAGGACAGCTCAGCCAGCTGTCAAAGTGGTCCTGGAGAGGATCACTCCCAAACACAGGTATGAAGGAAAATTGTGTAAAGCAAAATGAGCATGACTCCTGTTGGAGCATGTCTGCTTTCAGCATCCTCTTTCAAATAGTTTTAATTCAGCAAAAGTTGGGGTAATGCCTGTGCTATACATAGGGAAGTGACTTGAATGCTGTGCTTGACAGAACCATTCCCAAACCACATGGCTAAGTGGCATTTGCTTTCTGTGGGACTGAGACCTCAATCATGGTGAGAATTAGGTACTAACCTGCTGCATCAGCCAACATGTAGGCAGCACTACTCTGCCCTTCCCTCACAGCAAGAGTTTTAGTTCCTACTGAGGTTTCCTCTGTGCCACAGTTTCTGCCCAAAGGAGAGGGAACCCCCCAACTCTGTCTCCCTGTGCTCCCAAGCTGGCTGTTGTTCTGCCTGTGTGGTTGTAGGGCTAGAAGGAAAAGTGTGCCATGTTGGGCAAGGCCAGGTACCAGCAGGGAAGGGTGGAAGGGTATCACATCTGAGTGGCTTAAATGCTGCTTTATCACTGTGCAACAGTGGGTGAAAGGCCTTGGAGAGCAGATCTGGGAGCCCAGATAAGGGTCAGCCTGCCCTAAGTGCAGCACTGCAGCAGGAGTTGTGGCCAACAGTCCCAAGTGAAGAGCAGCACGTCCCCTGGACTCAGAGCCTGGCAGAACAGGGACCAGCCCACACTCTCCACATCCAAGCCCGTTGAGTTAAACACGATTAACATTGCTTGACCTGAGATCTATGTTAGGAAAAAAAAATAATATATCAAGTATTCCACATCCATGGTAGTAGTTAAAATCCGGTCCAGGACAATAGGGCCAGGAAGGGAATGTCCCAGGGGAGCAGAGCTGCACAATGCTGCCTGGACATGCTGTGCTTGAGGAGAGGTGACTCCATGCTGCAGCTCCTACTTCATGAGCAGTGCTTGGGAGCCTTTTTCTTACTTTAAAGAGAGAGGATTAAGAGGCTATTTATGTTTATTGGTATTTCTCATGTGTTTGTTTTTTTTTAATCTGAGATTCTGGCCAACATTAATTTTAGTAATCAAATAGAACTATGAAACAGGGAGTAATTATTATTGCCTTATTTCCGATGCTTCTGAGAAAGTCAGATAAGTGGCTTCACCCGTGTGAATTTGGGAATCTATCACATAAGTGGAAACAGGAATTTAATTTCCTTACCATCCATTATCATACAGCATTGAGGATAAAATGCCTCTCTTTTAAGAAGGAAAAAAGCTCTAGTTTTGATCTGCTGGCTAGCTAATGGGAGCATTTTCCTTCTTACTATCTCCAGCAGAAGTTTCAGTGGCTAGAGTAATGAATTCAAATCTTCACTAAGGGAAAAATAATCATGAGAGAACTAATTTAATTGTTTAAAAGTAGTGTTTGCATTCTACAGTCTTTTCTGGATCACTTAATTCATTCCTACTTGTGCCATGTTAGCATGCAATATTATAAAAGCAGTTGGAGAGGACAGATGATGATCTCTTGTGCTCACTGGAAACTCTAAGGTGATGAAACTGGAATGCAGGCAGGAGAACAGAGCAGATCTACTCTTGCTTGTTTCCCTGTAGATAGGACTGTTTCTGAGAAAAATATTGAAGGCAATCCATAAAGTTATGACAGCTTCTTAGCAGGGATAACATTATTTGTAGACTATTAAAATTTCCAGTAGCATTAGACCTCTACTCCTAGAGGAACAATAGCCCTTTCTTCCTATTGTATTATCATCTATGTAGGTATGTGTGTACATACAGAAAATATGTTTATTAGTGTTATGTTTAGACTGAAATTGATTAAAATATTGCATGAAATAAAAGATACACTAAAATGTATTTTCCCACCCCTAAAATAATCTATTTTTCATAGCTGGCTTCTTACAAGAAATCGCCAGAAGTTACAAGAGGTCATTTCAAACCTTCTAACCCAGTATTTCAAAGAAGAGAAAAAGCTAGAGAGACGCCTGAAGACACTCATACCTATGTACCCCATTGCCCTTTTCAGAACTGCACCAGAGGCTCTCCACAAACCCCTCCTGGGAATGGGACACCAGCTGATGATTTTTCTGAGCCTGAAGATGTAAGTGGTGACATATACACAGCCCAGGGCTGGAAGGAAAAAAATAAGAAATATACCTCTGGACCAGAAAATTTTAACAGGAAGACAAAAGTACTGTCACCTTTGGATTTGAAAGAAAAATATGACAAAAATAGAAGGCAACCAGAAGAAAAGCTTGAGCAAGAATTAAAGGAAGCAAAAAAGAGGCTGATGCATTGTACTCAACAGCAGCCTTTGTCATATGATTCAAATGGGATGGACTTAGGTGGAACCAGTCCAGGAATAAGGCGTAATGGAGACAAAAGAGTAATACAGACTTCAAACAAAGGAGTAATAGAGACTTCAGAGGAGAAGAATACTGACTGTAGAAAGGATGTGTTCAAAATACCTCGTTGTCCTGTCCCACTGTCATTTGCAGGTGATGCTCCACCAACTTTGCCAGTTGACAGAAAAGATGCTCTGAGGAGTCCAGATGCAGTTGCCAGGGAGCATGTGGCTGGCCAGCCAAAATCCCCACTAAGGCTCATAGCCAATGTGATCAAGAGATCCATTTTGGAGCCTCTAACCTCATCTCCAGAAGGACTAAAGCAAGACTCAGACAGCAAAGTCAAAGACTCTTCAGAACAACCTTTCTTCAGCTTCCCCAGTACTCCTGGCTATTCCCTAGGCCAAAGAAACAGTAACAATAACAGAGCAAGGAACACTCAGCCACAGGTGTTTAAAGTAGGGGAGGGGGCAGGAGAATGTTTAGGAAATGGAAGCCCTGTCTCAAATCCATCTCATTTTTCTGTATGCTCTGAAGACAGATCCCCAAGGAATTACAGTGAGGAGGTATCCTACCCAGTCTACAGTCCTCACACCAGGTCTTCCAAGATAACCAATACACCTCATAAATCATCTTGTAGTAGGATGGAGGATGTCCCAGGACTCCTTGAAAAGTTTACCTTTGAAGAGACTCCTCCAGAGGCTCCCACAGATGGCATATATATCTGTAACAAAAAGTGCCTCCTTTCATCACCGGGACCCAAGAACACCTCCAGGGACAATCTGGATGACTCTGCACAGAGGGGTAGTCTTGGGTCACTCTTTGGTAGACTGAGAAGTAAAGTCTGTGACCGAGAAGGGAATTCCTTCATGTCATCTCTGCCTTTCATGAAGGACCATTTTCCAGAAGACAGACCACAGTATTCTTCCACAGGTGAGGACCTGAGCAGAATTACTGTTTTCTGGTAATAGCACTTAGCATTTAAGAGACCTGTCTGTGATCAGGCAAGCATGTACCTGCTGTATGTTAAGTCAGAGTTACTTTCTACAGAGAAAGACCTAATTCATATATATTTTTTGTTACATTTTAGGGGTTGCTTCTGGTTTAAAGAGCAGAGTGGATTTGCAAGCAGAGTGCAGCAGGGTGGATGCAGGTTTGCTCTGCTGCTCACTGTTGTTCAAATGTCTGGGTCAGGAGAACACACTCGCTGAGGTGGAAGGAGTGGAAGGGCAGAGTGGGGTGCTGTGCAGAGTGGCTGGTGCCACAGCACTGTGTGCTGTGAAAGGGGCAGTGCAGTGGGCAAGCAGAAGGGAAGGCACAGGGAAGTCAGTGCAGCGTGGAACACATCTCCTATCCATTTCCATGAGGAGCTTGGAGACTGAAGCAATATGGTTGCAACAGCAAGAATCTTGGCTTTGTGTACCTGGCTTCTCAGCAGGTGTCTCTTGAGCTCTGCCTGCTGTTGCAGTGACAGAACTATGGACATATTTTGGGGAGCTTTGGGTTGTCACTAATATTCTCTTGTTGCTTTATCTGAGAGGAGATAGCACCTTACTGACCTACTCTGACCTGTTTGTGTGTCTATCTGGGCAGCGATTAAAAGGCATCCATTTTCGTGTTTGCTTCCCAGAACACGGTTAGTATTAAAATTGCAGACCAGTCTAAGAAATATTGATGTCAGACAAAAAGCAATCTGAGCAATATGAGGTATGAGAGCTGCACCCACCTGTCTTTCTCCATGATCCATCTTCCCACTAACAGACTGCAGAAAGCCACAGTTAGTAAACTAACTCACCTATTGATTTTTACTGACATACCTGTTTGTTTCTTACTCTATTGAATTGCAATTGAAATTGTAACCCCAAAGTTTTTGCTGTACTGCAGCATGAAAATAACAATTTGTATGTAAAATATGAAGTCCAGTGATGTTCCCAGTGATCTGCTAGATCCTTTTTGCATCCTCTCTGTTTCAGAAGTACTGCATACTGTCAGGAATTTACACGGTATATGAGAGACTTGATCTGAAGCTCATGAAAACTGATAGAATAACTCCTGTTTTCCTTTCTGATATATTTTTTAATTGGATTCTTGGAGCATCCTTTATCTAACAACTCACAAAACCAGGCATCCTCCTGGAGCCAGAGCATGCTAGGGACTGCACTGAAGCCACAGAGAGTCGCCTGTGTTCACACTTGTCATGCTGTGGTCTCAAATGGGAGGCTCTTTCTGAGTCTATACCTACTCTCACCCATCAGCTAAGCCAAACTGACTTGTTCTTAACTAGGTGTATTACAATAATTAGTATGTAGTGTTACTACTAAAATGGGAAAAATTCTTATTAGGTTTGAATAATGCTATACTTTGCTTTAAATATTTTGAAACATGTTGGTTTAAATATGTTGCATTCCTCTGCTGTGCAAGTCAAAAGAGGAATTATAAAATTATTGTAATTATTGAATATAGGCATTGCAAAGTCTTTTCACAAAAAAACCCCAACAAAACAACAGAGCTTTGATCTAGCCATTTGCCCAGTAATCTGTTGTCTTCAATGTTTCAACATTGCAGCTCACTGAACCTTTTCAAACATTCATATTTGAGTAAATCAAACTGGTAAAGAGCCAAGTCCTGCTTGGCTCTCTAAAATGGCATTTCTTTCTCATATTGGCACTTGTCTGAGGCCCAGGCTTGGCAAACTTCAGTCGTTAACTGATGGTAAGTTTTAGCCCACATTATATGTAATTATTTTTCTCTCACATGAATCTTGGAAAATTATTTTCTTTAAAGAAAAGAAATACTTCCAGCATGTTGCAGAAACAATTTTTATTAGTTTCTGTTTCTTAATCCTCTTGGCTCTTTGCAGAAGGGCTTTTCTATCCTATTTGAGGCCAGACAAACTTGTTCTGTGCAATATTGTTGGTCTTACATTACATGCTGATGTTTTGTCCTTCAATGGGCTGTTGGCTTGTGGAGCCAAAGAATGAGCTGCTGAGTGATGAAAGTCCATGGGCTTGAGATGAGACTGGGCAAGCTCCTTGAAGAGAGATCCACTGAGGAGTAACCAAATCCTTATAAATCACTTCCAATTTAGAAAGGTCCTGAACTGAAAGATGCTTGGAGGCTGGGCAGGTGTTAAAGGGGAGGAATCACATATAATAACCCAATGCCTACAGCATTCCTTCAGACATCCACTGCTGCAGGCAGACTAAAAGACCTTCAGTCTCACCCTACACAACTACTGTTGTGTTG